GTTATTTCCTAAACTTACTTAATAGGACTATATTCTAATTAGGACTAACAGCCTTGTTGAAAAGGTATTTAAAGAATTTTATATTAACAAAATCACACTTAAATATTGCAAAGTGCTTTTTTTATTTCTATAATATCAATTTATACTTTGCTGAAGAAAGTTACTTCCAACCTCAGTCATTAATTAGAGAATGTGTTTGTTGAATTTATAATAATTAGCTTAGTGCTAAATTCATGCTGTTGTGTTATAAGGCAAAGTTCTTCAACTACAGTGACTAAAATGTGTGCTAAGAAGTAATGATTGCCAACTAGAATAGCAGAGAAAGGGCTGAAAGATTGTTTGTGTTCCTAAGCTCAAGTGAAAGTCTGTTTATAGAAAGCCATGTGTCAGATTTCCTAAACTCTTCAATTATACTCTAAGTTACTATAAATTATAAAGGGAAATAAAACTTAGAATATGTTTTATTACTACAAAGATAATGCATAGAACTTTTGCTGTAGTCAAAATGATAAAATTGAGATACCATGATTCCATGATCCAACAATGCTATTTTAATCCAATGGAACATGCATGACAGAAATCAATTTATGCATATTCACACAAATATAAACATTAAACACAATTTAACCTGATTTTTACACTTTGCAATTAATTAAAATTATTCTCCACAGCAATATACTAATTAATATAATTATATGTATTGCATAATACTTTCATATCACATAATCTATTGAATATTAACTAAGCATATTTCTCTTTTTCTAAATTTCAGTATTTTATCTAAAGAAATGGTGAAACTTACCACTAAATTTTCACACATGGGAATTCCTCTGGATTATGAAAATAAAATTGTACACTTGAATGTGAGTCATTCGTTGATAAATGCTCTATTATACCAGTAAGAAATACACAGGAGAAACATTCAAGTAATTATTGAGATTTCTTGGATGACTCATTCCTTCAATGACTCTTGAAGAAGTGTACCCACTGTAGTCCTGTCTTCCCTAGGCATAGTGAACTTTCTCTCTTCTACCTTTGTATTGAACTGTAAAAAATGAAAAAAAAAATATTTATATGTGATGATCCATGCCTGTAATCCCAGATACTCAAAAGGCAGAGTCTGGAGGATTGCAGTGCTATCCCTGGCAAAGTTAGGGCTCAAATACAAACTAAAAGCTTGGCACCAGTGCTCATGCCTATAATACTAACTACTTGGGAGATGAGATCAGGAGGATCACAGTTGGAAGCCAGCCCAGCCAAATAGTGAGACTCCATATCAGCCAATTGCTGGGTGCCATGTTCTTGTCACCCAGCTATGGCAGGAAGCATAAAATAGGTGATCACTGTTCAGGCTGGCCTGAGCAAAAAGCAACACCCTATCTCCAAAATAACCAGAGCAAAAAGATCTGGAGGCATGGCTAGAGATGTCATACCTTTGAAAACTGTCAGAATTCATATGAGCAGCTCTGACAGAAAATAATGTAGAGCAGTCTTGGTAGTGACTTTTTCCACCTTATTTTTTCTCATGGCAGCCAGGGATCTGAAGCTAACTTATCAGTGATAAATCAGGTAAACAAATGTGACATTCAACCATTTACCAGAGCCAATAACAATAATAAAAATACTGTTTCCCATGGGAGAAAATTTGATGGGTAAGAAATAGATTTAGGAAAACAAAATGTAAGTGCCCAGGCTCTCGAAATTCTGAAGAAGTCTCATGATAGCATGTGTTGTTCCAATTCAGCCAGGCAAGGTTTGACAACATTTATAACCCAGATTAGGCATATTTCCATGAGGATAAAGCCAAGAAACAACATTCTTGTAGGCAATAAATAAAACCTTCTCTTTCTTTCCTCTCTCCAAATACACACACAATTTTAGGTTCTCTGAAAAGATAATTGGCAAACTTTCAATTTTTCGGAGGAGAGACCATGTAATTACACTGTCTTCCCTACCCCTCACACCCACCTAAGAGGAGCATCACCTCAGAGTAGACCCTTAGCTGACATAGGTACATTGCTAGACATGCCAAAATTCCATGCCTAATGAGTTTCTCTTCTAAAACAATTACCCTCCCAGGGGTAAAGAAGTCATATCTTTAAAACTAGCCAAACATTGATAAGACACAGACTTAAAAAGATGTGTTAAATTTAAGGAGTATTTATATACAATATATCTACTATTATATACAAGAAATATTTTTAATATATTTTGATCCTTAAACACTCTTATGGTCAAGGTCTTAGTTTGTTCACTTTTTCAAAGCCAGTAACTCATTCAAAGAGATCAAATAGTGTGAATTGGGCCATCTCTGTGGAGCCAGAGCTCCAAGCCAGGAGGTCTCATTCTGGCTTCTCACCTGGTTCTCATCAACTCAATCTGAACCAATACTGATGAGCCCTTAAGGACAAATACAACTTCTGTTCACTGACACGTTTCTGTTCCTAGTTGGTCTATATTTCAATTTACTCAGATCCTCTCCTTGGCTCTGTCTTGATATTTCATTCTTCTACTTACATCCATCATTATGATGATAAATTAAAGATGGATTTGCTCGATCAACTTGCCTCATACCGTAACATCCATGTACAGATTCTTAGTTCATATACATCACCACTGCCACCTCTCAGCAGACTGATAAATTGTGCACAATTCTTCCAATTAAGTCTTAAACATCTTTACGTCAAATTAATTAAGAAATATTTCCATAAGCCATACTAGTTTAAACATTATATCACTCTACTTTACAGTGTCTCATTACAAATAAATTACACTAAATTTACATTTTTTTCTTATTTTCATTTATAAAGTGTTAAAGAAATATCAGAGTATAATATATGTAAGATGGAGTCTAATAAGCTGTCTTTGCAAGTTTTAGAAGTTTTTCACTTCTTATTCTCAGTGTAGTCATAGTACCCATAATGCAGAATATCCACACTGTAAAACTGCTGAATTAAGGTATGACTGGTATTGAACATATAGACATTGCTTAGGACCAAAAGTAATTAATGCAACATTAGTTATGTTTATAAAAGGTCACAATGTTTCTATTCTATTATGAAATACATATATTATGAAGTGTGTACTTCTTAATGGTTTATGAAGCTTTTAGAAATGCTTTATAAAGTTACAGAATCATCTTTTTCGTTAGTTTTCTTTTATGCTTTGCTTCTTCCTTACACATTTGAAAGATAACTAAGAGATTCCTCCAGAGATAAACACTGACAACACTTTAAAATGTATGGACTTTTAAGTTGGGCTATTATTTTAAGAGCTGTGTTTGATAGTCACTTCTATTAGACAATTTGATCATTGTCCTTAAATGCTAACTTTATAACAAAGAATATAGGGCATAGTGAAATATAAACTGAAAGGCAGTGGTTCTCCCTAGAGCATGAAATTTACATGAAAGAGGAGACATTGCAAAAAATAAAAATGGTATCATGACCTTCCTTATACAAGAATTACATTTCTAATCTTAATATTCAAGGTCAGCTAACCTTTTCTATAGCACTCACCTAGGCACATGAGAGAGTAACAGTGTTGCTAAAAGAGTTGTGCACCAAGATGAAATGTGCTAAAATAGACACAATTAGTACCATTTATAATTAAAGTTTATGTGATGTTGGTATCAGTTCATTACAAACGTACTGAACTATCAAGTCATTTCACACAGGTCGTTGAACAGCAATAAAGTAGTATCAGCTCTTCTTCATTATGACGGTGAGCAAGATTTGAACCAGTGACTCATAGAAAACAGACTCTCTTCTATCATTCAGTCTATAAAAGCACATTTATAGACATGCAGTATATCTATGACATTTGGCTTCGGACTGTATTGCTCTTTCTTTGAATAAGATACAATCTGTAAACTGTCTCTTGGATCACACAAATATTAGGTGCTAAAAATGGTTACATTATATATTACACATTTATATTTTATATATTTTGCTTATATAGTAACAATGTCATTATAATTGTATAAAAGTGGTCACATGTGGCATGATATTGGAAGATCTTTTGGCTGTTAAACAGAATGAACACAAAGTTTAGTACTACAGCATAAATTTACTACTGTCATGTAATTCCCTAAGGCCTAAGTTTCCATCCCACATAGCTGTAAATATTCTCATATTTCATGAATTGCATCAGTAAAAGAACATTTACCAAGAGAACTAAATTGAGTTCTGTGCTGAAGTGTACAGTTTTAGTTTATTAAAATACTAACATGCATCGAAGTAACAAACTTCAGCTCCTTTCTAACAATGATACTGTACAAATACAAGCCAAATTGATAGTCTAAACACCTTTCAACTGAAATAGTCTGAAAGCAAACACTGTTAGAAACATCTGGGCCAGTGGTCACTAATGACTTACTAATTTAATCTCTCCTTATGTTTTAAGTAGTCTCTTTTCATGTTTATCAATTGTAACTTGGTAAATTGAAATAATAATTTTAATTAATTGGTCCAATATTGGTTTAGCATCACCAAAAAAATAGAACTTGTCCTTTAAAAATAGCAGGAAATAGCACACCAAATGCATTAATTGAAAAAATTGACAGTAAAAACATCTAGTAAGCAAAGTGTCTGGTCATTCACAAGAATTGCAATGTTGCATTACCTAAATATTTATTCAGATCTATAAAAGAAATACATTTACTATTTCTTCTTACTTAGGTTGTTTCTTGTATAATTGGATTACTAGTATCAGTATTCCTTTTTGCCTTTCTCGTTATACTTTTCAAAGACTTTCCATTAATTTTATGATCATGAATTACACAAGAGTGAAATTCTCTTTGGTATTTTGCCAGTTGTACCTTGCTTATAAATGGTAAATAACGCATGCTTGTTCTTAGCGTTGCTCCTAGTCTCTTGTATTTTGATTTTACACTGTTTCCTTTGTGGACGACTTTTGATTATGTCGTCCGCTGCGCATGAACACTTCGTTCGGGAGGAGTGAGTGTTAATCTCATGTCCTGTGGTCTTCTTTGTAGTCGCAGCGTCGTGTTACCTTTCACCTCCCCGACGGCTCCCAGGAAAGCTGCAGTGACAGTGGTCTGGGAGACCACGAGCCGGTGGGTAGTGGAACCCTGATCTCACATCCTCTTCCTCTGGTTCAGCCACAGGACGAATTCTACGACCAGGCCTCTCCGGACAAGAGGACCGAAGCAGATGGCAACTCTGACCCCAACTCTGGTGAGTCTTCAAAACTTGCAAAGCTTGTGGTTGTTTGGTTCAGTTGTGCACTTGAGCTTTAAAGAGTAATACTGGGGTACAAGTAAGGGAACATTTGGTTGTTTTTGCTGGATTTATTGTTGTTATATTCTTTGAAATAGTTCAAGTGTAATGTGCTTAATATATTGGCTGTTAAGTTGTAAGATGCATTTTTATTTAATAAGCCATGAAAATAGAAAAGGTGATTACAAATATCATTGAACCCTGATAGCAAAGATGATGCAATAGGAAAGCACCTTGTTTAAAATTGATAAGATATAGTTGAATAGAATATCATCAATGAGCAATAAGAATATGTGTGCCTTGGGGACACACAAGAATTTGTGTCTTGGGGAATGCTATTTTCTGAAGAATCTTATGAATACTTTTATAGGAATTAAAAGATTAATAGAGATTAAAATCAGTGTGAAGAGGGGAGAAAACTATATTGTTTGTTTGTTTTTTTTCTTTCTTTTTTGCATCTACTTAAGTTTTGAATGACCTGTTTTTCACCAATATGTTGAGCGGGCTGTATTTGGCTTAAAACTTTATTATCCAGGGCCTCCCCACCCCAATTCAGGAATCATTCTCTATTCAAATTCAGCCTAGAGAGACTTCACCCTTTGTCTGTGGAGAAAATCTTGCAAGGCTACAACATTTTTTGGTCATGCTTTTATCAAAAATAAAAAAGTAAATGGAAAACTGACTAATGCACTTTTATTTTTAAAAAGACAATTAAAAATGTAATGTCCATTCCATAGTAATTACTATAATTTCTTTTTCTTTAAGTTTTTCTGTGATGAGCTATGTTAATAGTGGAGAAGTCTATGCTTTTTTGAGGGCCGGGGGAGGAGTCTATGTGAAATCTCTCTACATTTCTCTCAATTTTGGTGTGAAACTAAACCTGGTGTATTAATCCCAAGAAGAAAGCCAAACTACAAAAAGAACAAAAACATTGTTTCTTTTTAAAATTCATTTTGAATCTGCTTCATGTTGGTTGGCTAGAGTGAGAAATGAAGTTATAGTGACTTTTTCTTAATTTTCTAGCTATCTGACTCCTACTGCTTTAGACATTAAAGTGCCTCTGGCATTTCTGTGATTGAAGTGAGAATATCAAGTGGAGACAAAATGCACAAAAGAACTTTCTTAACTAGCTCCATTCTGGTTATCTGGTTTTCTCTGACTTCTACAATTTTGAACTGTCCCTTTCCATATTGTCAGCCATTTAGAAGGATCTAAGTACAGCACATGCCAGCTTTGGTTCTTGCTATTTCCCATCCTATAATTTGGACATATGGAAAACATAAGTGCTTCTTTTGATCTAACATTTCCAGGGTGAACCATACTCAAAGAAACAAACTTTCATCTTGTTGAATTTGGGAAAGCTGAAGACCTGTTTATTCTGTATAGATTTCTTGACATTAATCAATCTAAGCAGCAGTTAATCTAAGTGATTCCATTGAGCCAAACTTTCCTAAACTTGTGTGGAGAAGTTGGCATAGGTGAAACTACAAATCCTGTCTCTGTTTTCCTTGTCTGCAGCTCCCTCCTGTCCAATTTTAAAACATTTTCTATTGGCCTTATGCTAAAAGTCTCAAAACTAGTTTTGATAGCCTCTTCTACAAGTATGTGAGAATGGTTGAATCCTGTTGTCTTTGGGCCTGGATGACAATCAAAACAAAATGACTCACATTTTAAATATGCTACAAATTGTTCTGGGACTTGTCTTTAAACTTAGCAAAGCTATTTTAGAGAAGTATTTTTAAAGTAGTAATAATATGTGCAATTATACATGGGGAATTTACACTTGCCTGAGACATTGTTTCATCATTTTCTTTTTAGCAATAATGATGAAACGTTTTAGAACCATATGTGGAATGACAGAGTATAGTAAGCTTAATAAGTAGGTTTTAGAAGTTGACTACCATTTGGGTAATTTAATATTAATTAATGGAATTAAGAATTAAAAAATATTCAACTAGAAACCAAAGGCAATATTTTAGGATCTGTTAACTAAAGGTACAAATTAATGGTTATGTATTTATTTGCCATGTGTCTTTGTTTACCTAGGAACAACTAATATCTTTTTACAAAAAAAAATAACAAAATCATATTATGTATACCATAGCAGCAGTCTACATGCACAAGTTAGTCTTTCTCTGTTAACTCTTACAAGAAATAACATATTACTAAAGATTTGTTTAAAGGACTGTAAATCTTATGTTTAAGTACAAATGCTAATTTAAATATATATATTAACAAAAAACATGGCTTATGGTATATAACTTAAATGCAAGGGAAATATATAAAGGTTTTATGGAAAAGTTATTACTAAAAATAATTATGTGATAATACTAATCTTCATTTTATTTCCATTTATTTATTTGTCAAGAGTGTTACTGTTACTTTGAATACTTTAAGCAGACCCCAGAAAAGTTCACCGGTCATTTCTTCTGATGCTACTAAAGGAAATATGTATTCAGGGAATACAAAAATAAAGAAGAATGAGATAAAATTTGCACATTGATGGTTGGTGAACTTGTCTGATCCAAATGAACAGACAATTTGCTTTTTAGACTATAATTTTTATTAGTATTCCCTCCTTTCTCTTAAGCCTACACATAAAAAAGACTACATTTGCATTTTCCAATGATAGAAAAAGAGAAAGAAAAACATTTTTTCTGAGCCCTTAATGTGTAGTTAAGCTAAACTGTCCTTGGCTAGAACTTTATCCAATGTGTCTGGCTACTCACACAAAGACTACTTCTTACTCCTGAGCAATAGCACTGGGCCAGCTGCCAAACTGAAGAATATAGAAGAGGTCCTAATGTTAGAAAAAAATCTACTTTCAAGCATTCTTTTAGAAGTCCGCAGAATTTTTACCATTCTACTGATTGGAAAAGAGCTCTAAGGGATGGCACAACATTACATACTTCAACATTCAACCCAACTTAGTGACTTTAATAATGTCAGGAGAATAATGGTTAATTAAATGTTAAGCCTCTTCTTGGTAGAAACATAGTCCTTCATCATTGGGGTGCAAGGAAAGAGATGAAATAGAGAAATGAGCAGGCTGACGTACATTACTAGCTAACAGCTCCTTTCAAGCTTAATAGGTCTCAAAACTGTAGCCTCCTTTATAATTGTCTAAAGAAGAATTAATTACAATAGACTGAAAATATAAAAAGATTAATGCTAAACACAAGTTCCTATTAGGAAAGTATTATGATGTAGTATCTATAAATTTTGCTGACACAGTTTTGTAATTAAACTTGAGAAATCTGTGAAGTGGGATGCAGTAGAATTGAAACAGTAATCATTAACAGGAATCATCTTGATATTAGATCTCAACTGTTACTTTGTCTTCAGTGTAATTTTCTGTCTTATGTCTCTAATAATTTTTGAACAGCCATGATTTTATAGCAAGTGAAAGAAAAAGCATAAATGTTATTATCTGAAGAGTTACCAAGTAATAAGTATTATACTTGTAAGGATTCTGTTTTATAAGTATAATGACTGTTTTAAAACATATTTAAAAAGAACACTAATTTTAATAATAACTGCTTTCACTATGCATTTCTGGAAGAAATTAATATAAATGAATTCATGCAGTGCAGTTCTTAGAAACTTTGAACTTTAACAAGTTCTTACTTTTGTACTTGCTCTACACTACACACAGATACATTGATATATAATATTCTTCATTTCCAATATTTCATCTTTGAGTTCGTGGCATTGTAAGTTTTATATTATATCTAACTCTTGATTTAAAAAAAATAAATGATGAAAGTCTTTCCATGTGCTGTAGTTTGGATCTGAAATGTCCTCCAAAGGCCCATATGTTAAAGATAGTTTCTCAATGTAATACTGTTGGGAGAGATGAATTCTTTAAGAAGTAGTGTCTAGTGGGAAGTCTTCAGGTCATTGAGGAAATACCCTTGAAAATGATATGGGACCCTGGCTGATGTCTCTCTCTCTTTCCCTTCCCAGCTTCCACAAATTGAGAATTTTTGCTCTACCATGTTGTGCGGTGTCATAGGCCCAAATGCAATGATGCCAACCAACCATGGAATGAAACAATGCAACCATGATCCAAAAATCAATAGTTTTTCCTTTATACATTAACTATCTCACATATTTTGTACATAGTACAAAAATTACTAACACAATCTGCAATGCCAAATATACATGAAGTTTGCAAATTAAGCAATAATTGATGGGGTTTGTAAAGGCTCCTAGTGTAATCTTTAGTGTACTAGATATGACTCTTATGTCACTAATTTACATGAGCTAAAAATTAAGCTTTCATTTTTTTTTAATTCTGATTACATTGGGTTGGCAGAAATTTCAGTGTTATCCCTTCCCTCAATTCAGTGTCATCCCTAAAGGAACTGGCCCATTCTGGTCATCTGTGTGCTTATGTCCATTGTCTCATCAGGTCCACAAATCTCAAGTGAGACTGCTTTGTTCTAGCCCTTAGGGCCTTCATATGAATATTCTGATTCTATCTTGCCAAGGTTGTGATGCCTACATGCATAAGGAGGATCATTGTTTTGAAATAGTCTTGCTTCCTTTGACTCTGCCATGGACTCTAGAACTTCCTTTTTTGAATCATCTATGTTTCGTTAGTTCTATCCAATCAGCGTGATATAGAATCTTTCCTCTCTGTTTCCATCCCTTTCCTCTTGTTTTATTTTACTCATCCAGGATGAGTAAATATTTTTAATGTCTAAGGTTGGAGATGTCCATTGTTTTGCTTGATATGTTCACTCCAAGACAAAATTCCTCCACTTCTTGCTGTTGATGTTGTAGTATTTGTCTCAGTAGCAGTCAGAAAATAATCTCATGATAAGCTTAGGACTTTGCTAAATAATTGAATGCTTTTTCAACCTTCTTTATCCTGTTTCATTTTCATCTAAGCAATGAAAGTCAATATCTGTTTGAATATGATGGTATAGATTAAGGGATATGTATAAGCAGAA